GGTGGGTTTCCTATTCGGTATATTTACCAAAGCTTTGATTTTTTTTTTCTCGTTTGGTATTGAAATATTCGGTAAATATGTGTTACGTCCTGTTGACTCCACGATTTCTTTCTTTCATGGAATCACTCATTTCATCACACGAAACAGACGGAAACCATAAAATAGCGGTTATCAATTGACGAAGCGGATGCACTCCAACTGTTATCACTCATTAAATAGTAAATGACGAAACCTTCCAGAAGACTCGAGCCTAATTATAGGCCGGTATTCATAATCAGATCTTATTTCAAGACCGTCTTAAGTAATATCTTAAGATGCTAATACGGCTCTGTGATTGGTTAATAACATCTTAAGATTGTACTTAAGATGGTCTTAAATATAAGAACCGACTATGAATACCGGCCATAGACTTGTTTGTCGCATTTTATCTAATTCTACGAAATGAAGCACGAAATTTCAATTATCTCGAAATTTCGTTCCATAGGGCGCAATAAATTAAAAACGCCATAAGGATCTGGGTGATCTCTCGGGTCACGGGCGGGTTGATCTCACGCCTTTCCGTGAAACGCAGATTTGACCTAAGACCCACGCCTCTCGGCGATTGATAAAGTTAAGCCTTTGGAAGGGACTGTCAAAGGGCAAGGTGACGTACTCGCCAATGAATAGCCGCTAATTAGAAATTGCTCATAGACAATGACAATTTTTGAGGAAACTCGTCAGAGGATAGGCGGGAAATCGAAACCTACGTCACGATCAGAAGAGAACTCCACCAATCAAATCAGATTAAAACATAATCCCGCCTCCTTAATTTTGTATAAAAATCGCGACTTTGCGCACTTGGAGTCACTTCTGATCCAGTCCGAGACGTCTTATCTTGAAGCCATATTTACCAGCCGTACTTTTTACTCAAACGTGAAACAGATTTCTGTTGCTCCCGCGGTTTCAACAATCGCTTCTGGTCTCGACCCGCGCCGTCAACCTTATCGTTATTATAACTAAATTCTGTGCGCGTTGAGCCTTAGCACGAAGTCGCCATGCCGATGAAAACCACCGCCGATCTGTGGACCCACGAGATCTTGAAGCTCTGTCGGGAGGAGAAGGCGCTAAGGGCCAGCAAGTATTAAGTTCCTCAAGTTTTCTCTCACCTTTACCCTTTTCCCCTACAAAAAGTCTATCAAATCCTCGGATTTCATTTCTCAAATTTCGTCTCAACTCTACCGCAGATTTGTAATATATATATATATATATGTATATATATATATATATATATAATTAAATAATTATGTACATTTAACCACGACATATTTGCTTATTGCAGTCCGACATACAGCCCACATTTAATTTACTATAAATGTTTTCAATTTCCCGTTTAATTTGCATGATCCTCGATATGTATATACACTACACCATTTAATTTCTCTCTTCTTTCTTTCCATGTAAATTCAATAATAACGATTCTGTAATAA